GTACCTTCCCTCTGTGATTATGAACAATTTATCCTGTATAAACAACAATATAGTTATTTACATGTCTTCTTCATTAGACTGGGAGCTGCTTGAGAGCAGATGGTTTTGTTTTGTTTTGTTTTGCCTTTCTTTATATCTCCAGGACTTGGCACAATGCCTGTCCCATAGTAAGCACTTAATAAATGATTGTTAACTTGACTTTCCTTGGGAGCTGTCTCATCCCTAGCTCCATAAAAACATTTACTCTTTGCTCTTCACCTCATTTTTCTGCAGGTCCATACCATCCGTAAAATGTTACTGCTACCCCTACCCATCCTTGACCCCCAAGGATCCTGTTGCTCTACTTTCTTTCCACCTCCCCTCCATCCAATTATTTTTGCTCCAGTTGAAACTATTTCTAGTTGTGTATCTACTATTGTAAGTTCCTTGAGAACAGGGGACTGTCTTAATCATCTTTTTCTCTCCCCCAGTGACTACCACTGTAGGGGCTCACTAAATATTTGATGAATGAATGAACGATGATTCAAGGCACTTCCCATGCACACTCCCCAAAGCCCAAGTTCCTTTAATCATAATATAAACACAGGGTCTATAAAAAGACATGCTAGAGATTAACCTTTAAAATGTGCTGTACATGGAATCTTTTACTTCAGTTTTTATTTGTACTCAATTTCCATAGCTCCATTATGGCCCTTTGGTAAGGGTTTGTAATGACAGCCTCTGACGAAATGTACAGTGTTAATTTATTAAAATACGTTTCTACTGCTTTAATTGCTAAACTTCTTTATTTTCCCTCTCCTCGATGCAGCAATTTATTTGGGTGATCATAATAAATCTAGCATTCACCTAAGGTTTTCTGCTGGAGAAAGAAGCCAACTGTCCGTATTTACGTATTTCGGAACTCTCTTTGAGCTCCAACCAGACCCAGGGTGGCAACCGGAGGTTAAGTTTTCCCTTTCAGGAGCCTTCCCAAAGAGATTCAGTGAAAGAGAGAAACTGGTAAAACCCCATCACAATTGATATTGACAAAGGATTCTACATAAGAATAAAATGATTTCCATGCCCCTGAGGATGGCTTGTAGTAACAGTGGTTGGTTAACCTGGTTGACCTTTCTTGGGCCAGTCATTTCATTTTTTTCTTTTAATTAATATATTTTGATTTATCAACCATAACTTCCATAAGCTTTTTTTTTTTAGGCAATTGGGGTTAAGTGACTTGCCCAGGGTCACACAGCTAGTAAGTGTTAAGTTTGGTCTGAGGTCATATTTGAACTCAGGTCCTCCTGACTTCAGGGCTGACGCTCTATCCAGCTCTATCCACTGCGCCACCTAGCTGCCCCTTCCATAAGCTTTTGAGTTTTAAATTTTGCTCCCTCTCCCTCCCCACTAAAACTCATTTTTTGTCATCCATAAAAAGCTTAGATGATCCTGAAGATCCCTTCTAGTTAACAATGTTTTGTTCATTTTTACAATAAATCCTCTATAAGGAAGTCTGTACAATAAATGCTTAGTCCGGTACTTGTCCTTGTAATAAATAAAACAAAATAAAATAAAAGTATCTCTTTTTGTCCTGTTTGCACTGTGAAGGGCTCTTAAGCAGCTGTTCCTTCCTACATTCGTCTCCCCTCTGCACCAGAGTCCACACATGATTTTTAAAAACCTGTTAAAATGGCCAGCTGTGGCTAAAATGGAAACAGTCCTTACAAAAGGGGAGGAACTAAGCATTCATATAACACTTACTGTGTACCAGGCACTTTCTTACAAACAGCTTCATTTTACAGTTGAGGAAACTGAGGGAAACAGAAGTTAAGTGACTTGTCCAGTGTTTCACAGCTAGTTGTCAGAAATCAGCTACGCCCATCCTCCAAGAAAAAAATACTTAAGATTTCATAGATTTGAGGCAGGTATCATAACAGATCAAAGTCCACCCCCATCCCCTCCCCAGCTCCTCAGGGAGTTGGTGGTGCAGTGGCTTCAGCAGTGAGCTTAAAGTTCAAATTTGATTTCAACCTGTGGCTTTAGATTTTGCAAATGTGATTTCAAGGCAGGAAATGTATGTCTCTAATGTGTACCCATTGTGGAGCCAAGACCTTTCATAACAATAGAATTACAAAATAACTTGTAGGTCTTACTGTGTTTTTTCTTTTCTTCTTTTTTGTTAGGCAATGGAGTTAAGTGACTTGCCCAAGGTCACACAGCTAGTGTTATGTTTCTGAGGCCGAATTTGAACTCAGGTCTGGCCTGAATCCAGGGCCTGTGCTCTATCTACCCACTGCACCATTTAGCTGCCCCAATAGATTTGTTTTTTGTACCAAGGAAGTCTATAATGTTTTGTTTCCTAGACTTCTTCAGAGGCTGATTTATTCTCTCTGCTCCTCCGGAGCTTCTAATTTCACTGATGGCATTCTTATCGTCTTTAAAAAAATAAAGTGTTTTTGGATGGCATTTATTTGTAGACCATTCATTTCTCCCTAACTTCTTCCCCCAAGGTGAATTCTACCTTGTAACTAAGAAAAACATCTAATAGGTAAATACTCCAATTCACATCTATTGCCTCCACCCCCACATCTCTAATCAAGAGTTTTGCTTCATTCTTGTTTCACTGACTTGAGATTGGTCATGACAATTAAATGAGAACTCCCTTAATATTTACATTATTGTAATCATTTTGTATATTGTTGGCTTGATATGCCCAAGCAGTAGAACATCTTGGTCAACATGTATGAACACTTTAGGGACTTTTCACACACAATTCCAAATTGTTTTCCAAAATGTTTGCACAAATTCTTCCCCATAGGCCTGCATCAGGCTTTTTTTTTAAGCTTTTATCATCTTTGTAACTTTGAGCAAAAAGATGGGAGTTGTTTTAATTTGGAACAGTCCTTCACATCTGCAATCCTCTTCCATACTATATATGTTGATATCTTTTGAGCACTTAACCATTTGTCTTCTTTTTAAAGTATATTCTCATCCCAGATCTTCCTTCCTAGGCCAGTAAGGTACAGTATTCTCTTACGTAGGCCCCTTTTAACATATGTATATCCACGTTCACCTTAATATTTAACCATATATTTATGAAGTGTGACTATAAAGTGCTAAGACCAACTTTTCTCTGGCACAATGAATCATTCAACAGGTAGACTGTATTGCAGTGGGAAAAAAAAAAACAAACTAGACTCTGAAAGTAAAGAGATCTGGGTTTGAATCATAGGTGTGTCACTAGCTCTGGGACCTTAGACAAATCAGTTAATCCCTCTATTTTCTTTACCTATAAGGGTGTTGGGTCAGATGTTCCTAACGTCCTTTCCAGTTTATAAAGTATCAGACCAAGTGTTTGCCAAGTACTATGACTTTAGAGTTGTCCTTGACATAATTCCTTAGGCCCCAGGTAAAAATCTTACTCCTAGGAATAATGGATTCAGAACTGACAAGCACCTTAGAGATGCTCCAATCCAGAGGTCAAGGACCTGTTTTACAAAAACAATACAGTAACTTTATTTTAAAATATAAAAAAAACATTCTTAGCTTGGGGGCAGGGCCTACAAAGACAGGCAGTAGACTTAACAGTGGGTTTGCCAACCCCTGCAGTGTCTAGCCCAGCCCTCTTATTTACAAATGAAGAATGTAAGCCACAGAGAGGTAAGATGATTTGCCCATGGGTCTCAGTGAGTGAACTAAGGAAAAAACTAGGACTCAAGCCTCATCAGTCAGCAGGTTTTCCATCCTACCAGACAAACATCCATTTGGGGACAGCCCCTTCCCTTTCTTGTACTCTTTTATAAAACATACTTCCTTTGCCTCACTACTCCAGGGAGGTTTAGAAAAGACTTCTGAATGAAGTTTAAATCTGAAACATAATTGATAGCAATTTTGCCATAATTTTGAAGTGATACCTAATATCAAGTGCAATAAGATCTGTGGATCCAGAGTTGCTATTAGAGGGTGGGCGGAGCCTCTTCTGGACAAGGATGTTGTTTTTTGTTTTCATAACAATTCAATCAGTTTCTCTGGCATATCAGGAAAACCAATGGCCTCCCAAATCTAGGGTGATGCAAAAAGGAAAAAAGTTTAAATGCAAGTTTTTTTTCCCTTAAATACACACTTAACCATTCATAACATTTCTGAAGTTGCACTATCATTATTTCCCAGGTCAACTGCTGTAACTTTGTTTTCACTTTCTCTTTGCTGTGACAATAGAAGGTTATAAAAATGGATGGCTGTCTTCCAATACTAGCACAGTTGACTAGGGACTTAAAAGGTTGTGTTAAATAATAATGAAGATATGATCACAACTGGAGTTTAATCTGTATTCCTTATTTCAGGCCTGTTTATCTCTTATTACTTCCCTCACACTCCCAAAAATCTATTACAGAAAAACAAAGTGCTGCATAGCAAGACAAAAAAGATAGAATCAATGTAAGAAGGACAATGTGGGTATCAGCAAAACTTGTTAATGTAAATTCCTAGGAATAATGGATCACAACTGCCTAAAATAGATATATCCATGTATACTTCTAATACATGAAAGAATTTTTCTAAAAATGACACAGTACACTAAAATGTTTTTTGCTATAAGGTAAAGTTTCTAGCCCTAGAAAAAGATGATTTTTAACTTTTGCCCCCACATTTTATCCCTGTAATAAATTTAACTGACACATGAAGATAAAACAAAAACTTTTTGGTTCTCATTTTCAAGATTTTCTTTGTATTTCCTTTTACAAAGACCTCTTATTAAATCTTTGCTCTCACACAAAAGTACATCCATATTTGTATTTAATAAACCACGTAATTAACAACGTTTGTACACAAACCGAACATTTCAAATGCATAAATGTTTCTCGATACAGTAAGCTCTTTGTTGAATATAATTTTCAAGTAAGCAATGGTGTATACAACCTTAAATATTACATTATTCAGACTGTTTTTATAGAGTGATGAACCTCTAAGGGATCACCACAACATAATTTTGTCTTTGTTAGCTAGTTGCAGCAGAACTGGGTTTCCATTCGTGGAGTGTAATGTTTCAGCATATGGACGGCTCCTCTACTGCCTGAGCACCCTCGGTTACAGCTTTCACACACTTGGCCATTGTCTGTGATGCTCTGCTAATAGGATCTGTGAAAAATTGAGAAAAGGTTTTATTTATTTACATATATTTAAATATATTTTCATAATGCTATCAGGGAGGTGATCAATCACAATGACCCAATACTACTATCTTTGGCCTCGATACTTGATCTACTTCTCTCATATTTTGACCTTCAATATATTTAAGACATCTCACTTAATACAGGGAGGGCATGACAAATTTAGTCTGTATCTAGAAGTCAGATAAGTTTTCAAATGTTACCACAGGACACTGGTTCTCAACCTCAGAGACCTAAATTAGGGTCACCAGGGGTATAGAGCAGGATCTTGAGAGATCCTCTGGGAATATGTAAAGTAGCAGCTAAGTAGATTTGGCCAGGGTCCTTACTTCCTAGACATATATGGAGTAAGCAGAAATTCTGGTGGCCACTCACTATGGTGATTTGGTTCCTGGAATCTGTTTAGATTTTAACCTATATTCCTTAACATTTTATTGAAAAACAAATGTCCCTTAATTCACTTTACTTTATCATAAAGTTCCAAAAAACTTGCCCAGTAGCTACTCTAAAAATATTACCTTAAATTTTACACTTTACACCTCAGCTAGGGAGTGATTCAAAGACATTTTACTAATTGAAAAGAACAATTAATAACTTCTAATATTCAAGTATTTTCCTCATCTTCTCGAACCACTTTAAAAGTAACAGCCATCAGTAGCTCTACTGACCAATCAAAAGGTAGAAAGACATACCTGTCATGTAGAAGTCTTTTATTGTGAGCTGAGGTGGAACAAGAGGCTGAGCAAGCAGCTGTTCATTCACTAGCTACAAAAAGAAGCGAGAACAACTATAGGACCATTGCACAATCTGATGTATATTAAAAAACAAACAAACAACATTTAGGGCAAGCATTTCACACCTTGGCAAGCTCACTTGCTTCTTGGAAATAATTAGCTCCCTCTACATCATCATATCGGACCAGGTTAGGGGACACTTCCTCCAATCTACTCCTCACTTGATCCAGCGTATCATAAGGAAGAGTCATACCAGCTATCTAGAAATCACCCAGACAGAAATAGAAATGCTATTATGATGCTGACAAAAATGAAAAGATTTTTAATTTTATTTAACACAAAATATTATATATTTGGTATTTATGTCCATTAGCTATCAACTTTTTAACCACTAATTTGGAACAGAAGAGTTATCAGAGCCATACATTTTTATAGGAATTTGTGGTATCATAAATCACAAATCACTGTGAGACAGGTATTAAAATTAGTAGGCCCATTTTCAGATGAGGAAACTGAACTTCAGCAAAGCTGAATGATCTGCACACTCAAACATGGCTCCTCAGTGGCACAGCCAGCTGCCGTGACTCCAGGATCAGGGCTCTCTTCACTTTCTGCTGTTTGTTCAGTTGACTGTTTCATCTTGAGTGTAACACCCACAGACAACATGCCTTTAAATATGAATTCATTTAGAAATGAGAGATAGTTGTAGAGGCAGGCAGGGCAACAGGCGCAGAATGCTGCATGTACTTTCAGATGCAGTTGACATATTGATTGATTTTGCTCAACTTTTTTAGGGGGAGGGGGAGTCTTTTTTTTAGAAGGCTCACAGACTGGATAAGAAGGGTGTGTTAAAAAATGACTGATATTTAAAAGACAAACGGCATAAAATCTTTTAAAAAAGGAAATGAATTATTAAATTTGAACAAACACCTGCTCACCCTGGTGATTAATCACCTGTAATAATCACGTAGAAATTAAAATTTTCTGTTTCACTATAGATATTTTTTCATAGCAAAAGCAAATGGAGACCCAGTGACATTATTTTGCTGTCTTTGGAAAACCTCACCAGTGCTGTATATGTCTTTGACTAAAAGGAAAGAAAAAAGAATAATGGGAACACCAATTCTGAATGTTCGGGCTCTGAGAACACTTTTTACATTAGAGGAGCATTTCATAGTGATTTCAGACTTTCATCTTAGACTTCTTTGAAAATCATTCCAACCTGATATACACTTACTCATGTTCAAAGCCCTGATTAACATCTCACTTTGAAATGTCTTAAAAATCATACCTCAGAGAGAGCCCGGATAATTTTCCAGTCTTCTCTTGCCATGCCAGGAGGTGTCACGGCTACTTTAGTCTGCTGAGCTCTGCCCTCTGTATTGACATAAGTAGCAGACTTTTCTGTGTAAGCTGCTCCTGGGAGTATAACATCAGCTATAGGAGCTCCCACATCACCATGATGTCCTGCCAAAAAAAAAATGAAAACAGAAAATAAGTTTAAATAAAAAATACTTTCATATAATGCATTAGAGTTTTTCAAGCAGAAAAAAATGAGATCTTGGCTATTAAGCTCTAAATTTCATTTTGATGGGGCAGCTAGATGGCACAGTGGACAGAGCACCAGCTCTGGAATCAGGAGGCCCTGAGTTCAAATCCAGTCTCAGACCAGACACTTGACATAACATAATAGCAGTTTGACCCTGGGCAAGTCACTTTACTCCAGCTGCCTTGCCAAATAAATAAATAAATTTCATTCTGAGTAGGAAAAAAAAAACACCATTCCTTGACACAGGTTAAAAAAACACCTCATTTATAGAGGCTGGAATTGTAAAGGGTACTGTTCTAGAGGCAGAGAGGATGCAGGGTTAGATGGGACCTAAGAGGGCACCTACTCCAACCCTCTTATTTTCCAGATGAGGAAACCAATGCCCAAAGAAGTTAAATCAGAAAGGTAAATGACCGTGCGACAGGATTTGAACCCAGGATCTTAGGAGTTGAAGGGGACTTTAGAAAGGATCAAGCCCAACCCCCAACCAATGTATAAATCCCCTCCACAAGAATCTATCCTGTGTGAAAAGTGTTTTGTAATTGTGTTCACAGAGTTCCTGGGTTTGTTTTGGTAGGTAGACTCCTAAATATTTTATAATGTCTACAGTAAGTTTAAATGGGATTTCTCTTTCTATCTCTTGCTGTTGGGCTTTGTTGGTAATATATAGAAATGCTGATGATTTATGTGGGTTTATTTTATAGCCTGCAACTTTGCTAAAGTTGTTTATTATTTCAAGTAGTTTTTTACTTGATTCTCTAGGATTCTCTAAGTATATCATCATGTCATCTGCAAAGAGTGATAGCTTTGTTTCTTCTTTGCCTATTCTAATGCCTTCAATTTCTTTTTCTTCTCTTATTGCTAAAGCTAAGGTTTCCAGTACAATATTGAATAACAGTGGTGATAATGGACATCCTTGTTTCACCCCCGATCTTATTGGAAATGCTTCTAGCCTGTCCCCATTACATATAATGCTTGCTGAAGGTTTTAGATATGCTATTTATTATTTTAAGGAAGACTCCATTTATACCTATGCTTTCTAGTGTTTTTAATAGGAATGGGTGTTGTATTTTATCAAAAGCTTTTTCTGCATCTATTGAGATGATCATGTGGTTTCTGTTGGTTTTGTTGTTGATATGCTCAATGATGCTGATAGTTTTCCTAATATTGAACCAACCCTGCATTCCTGGTATAAATCCTACCTGGTCATAGTGTATTATTCTTGTGATAAGTTGCTGCAATCTACTTGCTAATATTTTGTTTAAAATTTTTGCATCTATATTCATTAGAGAAATTGGTCTATAATTTTCTTTCTCTATTTTGACTCTTCCTGGTTTAGGTATCAACACCATATTTGTATCATAAAAAGAATTTGGTAAGACTCCTTCTTCACCTATTTTCCCAAATAGTCTATATAGTATTGGAATTAATTGTTCTTTAAATGTTTGATAGAATTCACATGTAAATCCATCTGGCCCTGGAGATTTTTTCCTAGGGTTCATCAATGGCTTGTTCAATTTCTTTTTCTGAGATGGGGTTATTTAAGTATTTTACTTCCTCTTCGTTAATCTGGGCAATTTATATTTTTGTAAATATGTATCCATTTCACTAAGATTGTCAAATTTGTTGGCATATAGTTGGGCAAAATAATTCCTAATTATTGTTTTAATTTCCTCTTCCTTGGTGGTAGCTTCGCCCTTTTCATTCTTGATACTAGTAATTTGGTTTTCTTCTTTTTTTTTAATTAAATTAACCAAAGGCTTATCTATTTTATTGGTTTTTTCATAAAACCAGCTCTTAGTTTTATTTATTAGTTCAATAGTTTTCTTAATTTCAATTTTTTTTTTTTTTTTTTTATTTTTTTGTTTTTAGTTTTATTTTTTTTTTTTCTTTTTCTAGTTTTTTTTAGTTGTATGCCCAATTCATTAATCTCCTCTTTTTCTATTTTATTTATGTAAGCATTTAGAGAGATAAAACTTCCCCTAAGAACTGCTTTCGCTGCATCCCATAGGTTTTGGTATGTTGTCTCATTATTGTCATAGTCTTGAATGAAATTATTGATTGTTTCTATGATTTGTTGTTTGACCCAATCTTTTTTTAGGATTAGATTATTTAGTTTCCAATTAATTTTTAGCCTATCTTTCCATGGCCCTTTATTACATATAATTTTTATTGCATCATGATCTGAAAAGGATGCTTTTAATATTTCTGCCTTTCTGCATTGGATTGTGAGGTTTTTATGCCCTAGTACATGGTCAATTTTTGTGTATGTGCCATGTACTGCCGAGAAAAAAGTATATTCCTTTCTATCCCCATTCAGTTTTCTCCAGAGGTCTACCATACCTAACTTTTGTAATGTTCTATTCACCTCCTTAACTTCTTCACAAGAATCTATCCTGAACAGGGACTTTGTATAAAGTTACTGAAGGGAACTATACTGCAACACAAACATGCTAAGCTGATGAAGTATAATTAAAATCCAAAGAATGGGTAGAATGAAATGAAAAAGCCACTCCTTTCTCTTCTTGCTTAGTGATATAAAGAGGTGGAAAATACCAGTGAAAAATGGGCAAGTTGGATAAAAGTAGCTGGTGTACTACAAAAGAGCAAACATGTAAACATACCTGTTTTTATTAAGGACACCACTTTCCTTCCAGGAACTCAGGCAACCTAAAAATTATCCTCCACTCCTCACTCTCCCTCAACCCATCCAATCCAATCAGACGTTGGATCTTGCCAATTGCTCTTTGACATCCATTCACTTCTCCCTCCTCCTATGACCACCTTCCTCGTTCAAGCTTTCATCATTTGTTGCCTAAATTATGGCAGTAAATTGTTCTCTCTACCTCAAGTCCTCTTAGTGCCACAGAAGCTAAAGTGATTTTCCTAAAGAACAGGTCTTATCATGTCATTCTCCGACTCAATAAAAAACTCTAATGGTCTCCTATTGCCTATGGGATCAAATGTAAACTCAGTTTGGCCCCGAAAGTCCTTTAAGTACTTAGCTCTAATTTACCTTTCCGACTTTTTATAAATTATCCCCTTCTAGCACTCTGCCATACAGCCAAATTAGCCTTCTTGTTCTACATACATGGCACTCTTATCTCCTGTTTCCATGCTCTTCTACTGATTTTCCTAGAATTCCTTTTTTCCTTCAAAACTCAACTCAGGATCCACCTTCTACCTGAAGCCTTTCCGGATCCCCCCTGCTCACAGTACCCAAACTGGCCTATACTGATTGTGTGTATAAATATTTCTTTATGTATGTTTTAAAGTAAATATTGTCTTTACAGACAAAATGTAAGCCCCTTGAGGACAGGGACTCTTCATTTTTGTCTTTATATCCCTAGCACAGTGCCCTTCACATAGTAGGCAATTAATAAAAGCTTGTTGATTTATGGGATTGAGAAGACTACTAAGAGAAAAACAAGGATAAATACATTCAACAATCTTAATTATTAATAAAAACCTCGAGAAAAAAATCATAAGAAGGGAGCTGGAAGCTTTCCAAATATAGGAGTGTCATGAAAGGTAAGCCAATTCATTCATTCATATACAAATATACACACACAGGAAAGTTTAAAAAAAGGAGAGAAGGTATAAAGAAATATAAAAACAATAAGTTATTACAGCATATAGTGGTTAGAAAGAATGCCTTTAACATACAATATTTATGTTAACACAAGGTTAGCTAGTATATTTCCATATAATTCCAAAAATATACGGGAATGAAAGTAGTGTAACAAAAACAGATTAACTGGAGTAATTTTAGTAAAAACAAAAATTGTAGAGGGTCAAGATAAAAATAAAAGCCTAAGAAGTTTAAAGCCTAAAGTTAATCAATGCCCTGAGGCACAATGGTGAAGTTCTAGCTATGTGGACTGAATATTTTAAGACTCATAATGTTAAGGTACTATCTAGAAGATTCCCAAAATAGCTCTTAACAGCTAAAAGCTGACAGTCTAAAGAGATAGGTCATATTAACAATTTCCTTTTAGCATTTTTTTGCCGAGATGTTATTGCCTACACTTTATTCTTAAATGCTGTATTTCTCCAGCATTTGCACACAGCAACTTTATACATAAATATCCAAGTGATTAATTACTCTTATGGAAGCTACTAACTGTAAACATCATAAAATTAAGATTTATGTAAGTAGGCCCGATCCCCCAATATTCAAGTGGAATAAATTTAATTCACTAAATGTACTGAAGAACAAATAGTTTTAGGCACATTAAAATAAAAGGTGATAAAATTTCAAGAGGGATCCTGCCTGACTGTATTGTTCCCTTCTATTTCTATTCAATGCTAGTTACCTTGATAGACAATGAAGCAATCCTTTGGCAAATCTGAACGGGTAATGCAACCTCCATCTGCTCCCAGAAGAAACAACATTTTGGGAGGGTTCTTCCGAATTGCCTCTACTCCAGGTTTAAAACCAAGGTCCAAAGCAGCTACCTGGCTTGCCACCCTGTGGTATGACAATAAAAATTTATATTAAAATGATATGGTTTGCAGAAACACCTACTTCCATTTCCATTCAATAATGCCAATATGACTTTTAAACCTCCTTTCTTTTCTTGCACATCAAAAAAGTGACTTTTAAGATAAAAAGTCATTTGTAATCCCTTCATTGGCAACTAGGTGATGATCTGTTGCTGCCCTTGGGCCACTGTATTTTTTTACAGCACAATATTTACCAGAGGACACTACAGAGAACTCTAGCTAAGGATCTTTAACTACAATGTTCTCTTTGGGTGGTTCCCATTTACCACAGCAAGAAGTCATACATTCTCAATATACTTTCGTAGGGCTTCTGAAATTAGACAAAATTTTAGAGACAGGCCTAGCTTAAGTACAGTCCACAGTGGAGGAAACTGAGTCTCAAAAAGTGAAGTGACCTCTCCTGGGAGACAAAGCCATCAGTGTCAGAGCCACAACTACAGCCTGAGCCTCTAGATACCCACAGGTCAGTTTCTTTCTACTATTGCACAATTCTGCCACTTTTTTATTAAAGGTACAATATGTTGTCTCCACTGCCTCCACCAAAAAGACAACCACATACATCTACTGGTGGGGTGTAAGAGGTGAGGAGAGAAGAGAGGGAAAACCAAATTCGTGATTTCATTGGTATAGATTATGACTCGTGCAGGGTCACACAGCCAGTAAATGTCAAAGGCAGGCCTTGAACCCAGGTCTTTCTGACTCCAAGGCAGGCTCTCTAACCACTATGTCACAATATCTCTATTAACATATTCTTTTTGAAAAAGAGTTATCCTTTTGCACTGAGATTAGAGGCTAGACTTTAGAAACCAAGAAATTTAGAAAGACCCACAAATATAAGTCAGTGACAAGATGTGGGGCCACAAAGGATACAGAAAGAAGTCACACTGCTAACAATAACTTAGAGTTACCGAAAATATTTTTGCATTATCACTGGCTCCTTCTCTGATGCCTACAAACACATCCATTCTCTGTCATTCTCCCCTGAACCTACATTTTTCTCTGTCAAACTCCCTGGTGCCTCCATTAATCCTCCTCTAAATCTTCTGCTCAACTGAAACTACTTTCTTCAAAGAACTTCGGATTACTCAATCCTCATCTTTCTTGACTTCTACACGGCTTTGGACACTGGATGTTCTTTCCTCTCTGGGTCCTCATGAGTGTTCTCTCTCTTTTGCCAGCTCTTCACTGGGGTCATGCCACACTAACTCTGAGTGTCTCTTTTCTCCTTCTGCCTCAGTGATCTCACCAGTTCCTATGGGTTCAGGTATCTCTCTGTAGTCCAGCATCACTAAGCCTTTGAGATGGGCATCCAGGAGGCATCTCCAACTCGATACATCCAAACTCTCCCCCCTTCTGAGCCGTCCCATTGTCCAGTGTGCCACCATCCTCCCAAGTCACACAGATTTACAAACTGTCACCCTTGGCTTCTCTTCCACTCACCTCACACAGCCAATCCATTGACAATCTTATGGTTTCTACCCTCACAACATCCCTTACACAGTCATCACCCTAGCTCAGGCCTTCATTTCCTCTCACCTGATCTCTTGCAACAGGCTCCTAATTGTGTTCCCTGCCTCATGCTTCTCTCAGCTCTCATCTCAGATGGCAGTGATGTTCCCGGGGCGGAAGTGACCATGTCATTCCCCTCCCCTTTGCTGGATCATATATGAAGCACTCCATTTGGCATGTAAAGCTGTTCACAACTAGCCTTTCTACCTTTCCAATCTTCTCATTCCTGTGATCCAGCCATACTTGGTTATCTGTTGTTCCTTGTACATAATATTACAACTCACATTTCTGCCCCTTTGCTCTGGCTTTTCCCCACTGCAGCTCTACCTCCCAATCTCTGACTCTCAGAGCCCTCAGCTTAAGTAGACCACTTTCTGGGAGTCCTTTCTCGGTACAACCCTATCTCAAGGTAAAGTATTCTGTGTATTTTAATTACTGTGTGAGGTCTCCACTATTAAAACATAATCTCCTTGAGGGCTGGGACTGGTCCCCAGTGTTTAGAACCGTGTTTGGCTAAAAAAGAGTTTAATAAATGCTTGTTAGCTGATTGCTTCCATATCTCAGAAACAATTAAGCTTTTGATACAGCAAATGTGACAGTAATGATGTATAACAGTAGTACTCTCTAAGCTTGAAGTAATCTGTAATTCCTTGTGCATTTTTGAAGTCCTCTACACGACTAAGTTCCTGGAATGCACAGAACATATCCGTATAAAGTATGGTATACTTTATATAGGTATTTAGTAAATGTTTGCTGTTTAAGTTAGAATCCATCATCTAATCTACTGAACAGAAAATTGACTACTGTTGTCTGCAAACTTTACTACTAAGAATTAGTATGTAGAAATGTATTCATTACATAATCGGTTACTGAAAAGAACTCGGCTTTAAATCATTAGGGGAAGTTTCTGTTAAAGGTGAGTTTTTTTTAAATGAAGGATTCTTAAATAATATCAAATAAATCCAAAAGAAGGGAAATAAAGCACTTATATTATCTGTTTTGTGAACCCTGATCTGTATATAACTAAATTTTCTTAAATCCAGGCACACCTATATTATGATGTGATAAGTGTTCTGTATTGAACTGTGTCCTAGCTCCTAATAAATGGAAACCAAGGGGAGAAATTTTAGTTCTGAATACCCTCTGTATATGAAGCTAGCTGTTCTTCTGCCAAAAAATAATTGGTGGGAACAGGGGACAGGACAGTTCTGACTCTACAATTTCCATTCTTCTCCTCTCAATGGATGTTGTTGCTCTATAAAGACCTTCCTCCCTTCTTTCTTGATGAGCAGAAACAGGGAATTTGAGGTTAAGTCAAACAAGTTACAAAGACTTTGTGCCCTTTTTTCTGGCTCCACTCCTTCCAAAACTTCCAACACGTAGCCTCCTGACATATCTGTTTGGCCTTTCCCTGATCCAATTCCCAGTTAATGGATTATAGTATAAGAAGGAAAGAGGACAGTTATGGACAATACAAAAGTACAATATTTACAGAGTCCCAGCAATGTGGAGACAAGGAGACCAGAAAAATAAAAACTTCTCTTCACTCTGCAGTGACACATAGAAATACTTCACCCTTAAGGAAGGAAATGCCAAGGCATTTTTTCATTACTATTTTAAAGAATGTGAAAATTAGTATACAAATATCCCACAATTTAACTTGTGATTTTACCTCCATCTTACAGAGACAAGTTTGATTCTTCTCATTTCATCAATGCAGGAAATGCCAATTCTACCACTGTACTGAGGTTATGCTGACTCACTTAATCACTTAAAAGACTTTCCTCCTAAATGCTACCCATTAAAATATGTTATTTTTCTTCCCAAACATCCACTGGAATGGTTACTGTTTCATAAAAGTATCAAATTAATAAGAAAACAGTATCCAAACCCAAGAACTGATACTGCACACAGTGCACAAAACAGAAAGTACTGAAATTAAAATATGGGTAAAAATTTTCAACAAACCTATGAAGGATATTCATAATTTTCCAATCATCACCAACTTTTCTCTTTATCCTGATCTTCTGTGCAAGGGTAGAAACAGCTGCCAAAATTGCAGCTCCATCACTTCGTTGGAGTGCTGAGCTGCCTAAAACTATGATTGGTTTTTTGCCCTCTTGCAAGACCTGCACAAAAGAAACAATGAAAACAGTGATTTCAAAGGTAAGAAACACCTTTAACGTGTGTGCACACATGCATACCCACACTCCGCCCCCCCAAGGATAAGAAATGTTAAGAAACTGGCTATTAAAAAAACTAACTAAAATTTGCCTTTGCGACAAGATGTTCTAAAGCTTAGGTGAACTCAAAGCATACTATTTATTGGCTAATGCAGTGGTACAGAGATTTCTTGGTTTATGGTCTTAACCAATATAACGTGACGGCCTGCTAAGGCTATTGTGTGAAGTCTGAATAAATGTATTACTGTAAGAGAACCTGGTTGAATGGATGGCCTCCTGAAGCAATTTCTTGAAGGATGTTTGGAGAATCTCCCAGGTGATTATAGCTGTATGTCAGATCAACTTTAGTGCCTACAAGGGCCACCTTTAGGTCATTATGAAGCCAGCTGGAATAACAAAGACAATAAATCACAATAAAGCTTTAATTTTGAGTCAAGCAGTTAAAACTTTTTTTTATTATTGCTAGTCCAATCAATGTACAGAAAATTCTATGTGTTCAGAAAAACAAAACACCTGAATTTGCAATTAAACCCAAACCATTAAACATGTCAACCAAATGGAAGCATAAATACTGTTCTTAAGAGAACCAGGAAAAGTGAAAATAACCTGCATATTTTATTCTAAATTTTCCCTGCCCACACTCTCCTATCCCTCTTCTGCTATTCATACAGATGCTCTAGTGTAATTTATAAACTTCCAGCAAATAAACTGCTACTCTTTCAAAATGCAGTGGAAGAATGAAGGAGCTTTCAAATTATATGAGAAATACATGTAGTTTGCTTTATCTTTTACATTACTATGTCATATCACATTCTTTTAAACACTATAAGCCAATACATGATTTTATATAAATCACAAACACAGGTTTGTGTAGAAATATAAACAATTATCTTACAGAAACTTATTATATCTCTGGAAATACCAACCTTTTCCGAAGTCTAGCATTAAACAGGGGTGCCTCAAAACGTGGATTTGTACCAACCAAAAGGACAACATCTGCCTCCTCTACACCAGCAATTGTTGTATTAAGTAAATAGTTAGAGCGTAAATCTGTGCTGGAAACACAATATACATATAATGTTATGGAAACTGAAGTGGTAAGATGAGGGGAAGGGAATTTGTGACTGATTAAAACAATCAATTTTTTAAAAGCACATCATCTACTTAATAGAACTTCCTGTGAAGAAGATATGAAGTATTCTCCAAATTACATTAGTCTTGATCAAGTATTGTATCCCTCTAGAGCATCCAAGCTCCTACTGTTCTATGCCTGGGTCTTTGTCAAGGACACATGGTTATAGGGGCACATATATGTGTATTTATGAGTATTTTTCTTGGTCTTCCAAATTTAAATGATTTTGGGGTTATCTTGTTATGTTACAATTATTCACACCTAAAATATTTAAAAGATCCTAAATGAGACCTTTAAAAACATCTAGTTTATAAGGTGGCTCACCCAGCTCCTGCAGTGGGGAAGACTTCTTCAGTACACAAGGAGTCAGAGTCTACTCTATTAAGTAAATCTTTGATAGATATGAGGGCTTCTGCATCCACCAAACCTCCTGCAATTGCTGCCACATCATTGCCCTGAACTGTCTGTAACTAGAAATAGAAGAGAATAATATCAGTGAGTCAACACTCACTGTCTATTATAATAGGTTAGATAAAAACAATGAACCTAGCCATCATTCAAAAGTTCAAAGTTGAAACATTTTCTAGTAGAAAAAAAAAGTAGACCAAAGTTCTGCTTTTTAAGGTTAATAAATTATAAATTCAATACACAGCATGGCAGGGAGTCTTCAGTGCTATTATGTAAAATTGCACAAACTTTAAATATATCTAAAATGTTGGGGGAAAAAAATCAGAAACAAAGGTGATGTCAAGACCAAGGAAAATGATTCTACCTTGATGGGGTAGGACAGAAGCTGGCAGTAGTTTTGAACTGAGGGGTAGAAAATCCTCAATAGTGGTCCAAAGCATACAACAATTCCATTTAAATGCTGTAGCCTTGTCCATCAGAAACATAATTCAGGGAGAAGCAGGGAACCAGAGAACATTTCTCTTATTCTTGTATGGGTCCCTTTTGAAAAATTACAGTTACCAGAGTTTTTTTAAGCTCCTTACCATTCCAGCTACACGAGAGAGTGCATCCTCCCATGAAGTGTAAGTTAAAAGCCCTTTTTCATTTCTGACCATTGGCTCAGTAAGTCGTTGCCGTTTCAATCCATCATAGGAAAATCTGGACAACAATAATGATACCATTTATAGGTTTCTCCTAAAGGATCAATTATAACACTCAAGTTTAAAGACTTCGCAGAAGAAATGTGACGAAAGTACTGCACTGGTTAAAGTGTCCAAAACAATTTAGAACTACCAAGTGTTAAAACAATGTAGCCCACTTTTTGGAAATGAAGGACTAACAAACAGCAGAAACTATCTGTTTACTAAAACATTAAAATTCAAACTAAAATTTAGTATCTTCTAAAGTTCAGTCAACTCTGAAAATACACACTTAAGAAATCAGCTGTTAAACTGCAGACAAATTTTGTGAATATGTTAACAACTTGGATCATTTTTCCTTTAGAAGAATTTTCCTCTATTATCATGAATTTGACAAATTTCAACAAGCACGAACATTTCCCTATACAAAGAATACAAAAAGAGGACTGCATATGAAATCATGAACTGCTACTATGTTTAACATGGTAGTTAGAACATTTTCCTGTTTTTCTGTGATCACTTTTACTTACAAATATTTAACTTCAGTATTTCTGTTTAATCAATATTACACAGTGTAAAGTACGATCACATATTTCCAAATGGAAAAACTTAAGATTAAATTAGTTCTCCATAACTATTAGAAAGCACCTTGAAATTGCATTCTTTGCAAACTGTCCAGTTCCTATACAATAGCCCACATAGGAAATAATAGGGCAGATAGCTAATGGCAATCAAAAGCCACCCTCCTTTAGGTGTTTTGTTAATATCAAATATCTTGGTTTAAAGGTGTATGTTTGAAGTATGCCTCAATAGTAGGCTTCAGGAAAACTGGTGCAATTGCATATATACCTGGTTTTATCAGAGATCCATTCTTCATTGATATCTTCATGCATCTTTGGCAAAATCCTCATTACCTCTCCTGTCCTGGTGCTGACTACAATGTTACTTCCAACTGCATCCATAACATCGATAGATTCTGTCTTTCTGAGAAAGAAGAAAGACAGCCACGTTAATTTGTGCTGACTCCAACAAGGAAAAGTGAATTAGAAATTCAAAAATGAGCTTCAAACGTTAAGAAAACTGGTGTTTCTAATCAATTTCTGACTTTCTAATAATCAAATGAAGACTCAAGAGGGGTAATTTTTCAAAGTCTACCTGAAAATTTGGAGACAACTTCAATGATTGCCAGTACAGAAAACCAGCTTTGAAAATGACTAATTGTCATAGGAAAACAATGATATACCAAAAAGATAGAAAACAAATGCCTTTTATTTAAATTCATTATCTGTGGAAAGGCTTTCTGGATTTCATTTCCAAGTTCATTACAGGAATATAATATGCATAGGCTAAATATTATCATAGAATGCAATGTATGTCTCAAATTTTTGTTTGTTTGTTTTGGTTTTTTGCTAGGCAATGGGGTTAAGTGAAAACAATGATATACCAAAAAGATAGAAAACAAATGCCTTTTATTTAAATTCATTATCTGTGGAAAGGCTTTCTGGATTTCATTTCCAAGTTCATTACAGGAATATAATATGCATAGGCTAAATATTATCATAGAATGCAATGTATGTCTCAAATTTTTGTTTGTTTGTTTTGGTTTTTTGCTAGGCAATGGGGTTAAGTGACTTGTCCAAAGTCACACAGCTAGTTAAGTGTCAAGTGTCTGAAGCCAGATTTGAACTCAGGTCCTCCTGACTCCAAGGCCAGTGCTCTCTATCCACTCTGCCACCTAGCCGCCCATTATCTCAGATTTTTTAAGGACACTACTAAAATCTCACCAAACCAACATAACTGAGTTTAAATAGCTTTTAAGAGTACTTACAACACTTCAAAAAAAAAAAAGAGTACTTATAAATTGTTGAAGTGGGACAGGGATAGGAATGGGAAATGGAACTCTAATTTCATTGGTACAGAGAACTCTGGCACCTCCGAAATTTATAGTTTTAGAGAGTCCCCTAGATTACTGAGAGGCCAAGTGACTTGCCCAGGGTGACAGAATCTGTAAGAAGGAGAATTTGAACCTAGTTCTTCCTGGCTCTGAGGCCAGCTCTATAATCACTACACCATTTTCATTTTTTAAGTAATAGGTAAATAATGAGAAAAACAAATATAGTGTGCATGTGAAGATACAAACCTTGTTTCCCAAGGGCGTGCAGTAAAGGCATAGGGCTTAGATGTAAGAGCCCCTACTGGGCAGATATCAATAATATTTCCAGATAATTCAGACATGAACATTTTTTCAATATATGTTCCAACTTGCATTTCATTTCCTCTTCCTGTTGTACCCAATTCATCCACTCCTGCAATCTCACTAGCAAACCTAGTAGATAAAAATATGCCATCAAATCCTCAAATACAACATTATATATCTTTCCCCATTCATTAACTTTTATTAAAAAAAGAAAACATTTTTTTAAATGCCAGTTTATTTTTAAGAATAAGAACCTCCTTAGTTAAAAAACAACACCACCCCAAAGTGGCTATTTAACTCTCTATCCTACAAAGGACTCATAAAGAACAGAGAAACAAAATTAGAGACCAAAAATATAAAAAGTAAACCACTTAGCAGTCCCTTCCTTTGGCTACAGAACTTAAAAAAAAAAAAGATCTCCCTCAGTTCTTTTTCTTTTAGAGTTTTTATCCATGTCACTCATTTGGTAATTAACATTTTCTCATGACCTGTATAACAATGGCAACAACTCTGATTTATTTATTATAATCATTTTACAGTTTATGAAGTACTTTTCTTACAACCCCATGAAATAAATAGGGCATTTATAGATGAGACAACAAGGTTCAGAGAGGTCAGGGGCTTCACAGTCACAAAGTGTCAAAGCAGAAAATCAAACTTCAGTATCCTGGGTCTAAATCAGTGCTTTTCCTACCTTCCCACTTTTCCTTGTATTGTCTCACATGATGTAACTCTTCACATATTTAAGCCTCACCTCTTCAGCTAAACTGTAAGCTGCTTTGCACAAACACGTACCTGTGCAGGTGCAGGTATAAGTTGTCTAACCAAATGAATGGAAGCTCCTTAACAGGACAGACTATTTTCACTTTCTCTTTGTAGTCCAGGCCCGAGGACAACGCCTGGCACACAGTAAAGATTTAATAAATGGGTGCTGAATGACTATATCTCTACTGAGCAGTCTTTCTAAGTAAAAGGCACTCAATAATGTTTATAGATATTTGATACTGATTTGAAATCCAACCTAAGTTGAGCAAGTTGTTTAGGAATACCTGACATTATATAGTACTTTAAGGTTTGCAAAGCACTTTATACATATTTAGGTAATTTAATCTTTACAACAGCTCCACAAGGAAGGTACTGCAGGTATTATTATTATTATTATTATTGTTGTTGTTGTTGTTGTTGTTGCTGTTATTTTAAATTGGGACTGAGAGACTAAAAGAGATGCCCTCGATCACACAAAGAAGTTCTATGTAGACTGGGAGTACAGAGAGGACTGAACACCCATATCCCCATGTGTGATACTATTTCTATCATGACACACCAAGTCTCTTCTTTGAATTTCATCTTCTTCATCTGCATAATGGAAATATTTAGATCTGCCCTGCCTAGCTCACAAAAGTGCTGTGAAAATTTATGATCAAGTGACACTTCAGTACTTTAAGGATTTGTAATTTCATGGGTGAGGTTTACTCCTAATGCCTTAAACTTAGAATACAGTTTTCGACAGTTGCCGTAGCCAAAGAAAGTCATCCTAGCAGATAACCTGGTAGTATACGTGAAAGTTCTTTAAACACTGTGTATGTATATAAAAATAACATTATTGACACTTTGTCTATATGGCTTTTAGCTATTTCAAGGTCAACAGATAGAAGCCAAAGTTGCTCTAACAATCATATCATGTGCATTACTGTCTCTATGTATTGTCTAAACAAAGGCCACCTTTGTTTCTTTTATTTAAGTCAAGACTTAGCTTGAAATCCTACTTCCCTTCTATCTTCCACTTGGCCAATTCTGATTATTTTTGTACCTCTTTTGTTAATTCTCTTTTTATAATTCTCTTGCATACCTCTCATTTCTTTCCCCAATTTTTCTATGCCACTATTATTTTTTTTAATTCTTTTAAAATCTCTTTTAAAAATCTTTCTTTAGCTCTTCTAGGAATTCTTATTGGCCTTGTTCAATCTGCATTTTTCTTGGAGCTTTGCTTGTAGACATTGTCTTCTTCTGAGTTTGTCTTGATCTTCCCTATCATCACAGTAGCATTTTATGGTCAGGTTCTTTTTTGTTGTTTGCACATTCTTCTAGCCTGTTTCTTGATTTTGGATTTTACGTTAGTGTTGGGCTCTGCTCCCTTGGGAAGGGGGCAGAGGAAGGCAGAGGTCTAGCCCAAGCCTCTGTCTTTTATGTCTCTCTGCTACTTTCATAGGTCAGTCTGAAGGCCTGCAAGTTTTCAATGCTCCATGTTTGCCCAGGCAGTTGGAACTGCTACATCAGAGTTTTCTTGAATATTCTTTCTTTTTTGGTGGTTCCTAACGACTAAATTTTGTGCATAGGACTATTTCACTCTTCATAGCCTGTGTGAAAACAAATTGGATCCACTATCTTTTCTGGTGACAGCAATGAAATAATAAGCAAGTTTTCAACTAAAATTCAGTGCTTCCAAAATGATGTGATCTGAACAGAAGTCTGTTCACTATTCTCCTGGTCTGAGTTCTACAAGTTCCTCACCTGGTCTGGGTCAGTTGGATTGTACGTGGTTGAGTTTCTGTAAACTGCTGGCTCCCCCATGGTTTATTCTACCCTACACTGATTTATTCCATTGCAGGTTTATGTGCAGGACTAAAAGTTAGAACTGAGTGTCCCCTCCCCAACCCCAGCTCAGAGCCACACGGCTTTGTTTCTGGAACTTGGTTCTTATTCCACACACAGTTAGGCCCTCTGTCTCTAGTGACCACCTCCCTCTACCCTGGAACTATGACGCTGAACTGGATAGTGGATAACAGAGCTGCCAGATGGCACCATTCTTACTCCCAATGCTAGTACAGGGATCCCTTGGGATCTCTTTCTGCTCACGTGTTTAGTCTCCTTGCTATTCCTGGGTGCTAGGCTTCTTCCCTCTGCTGCTGCTGCAGTGTATCCCTGGCCAGCCCCAACTCCAACGTCTAAAGACCTCTCTATCTTACTAAGTTGCCTTCTATTGGAAAAATGACCCACTGTGATGTCTCATTGGTTTTTCCCCCATCAGAATTTAATTAGGTTCATTTTCTAGGTCATTGAGGAGGAGGCTGTAGTGGATCTTGACTCTGTTCCTCCCCATCCCTTACTTCCACTCTAAAGTCTTCTCTAATGACTCCAACCCAAGGGTCCTGGGAATTCTTGTAGACCTCTATCTGTACTACTCATTTGACACTGGGCATATATGTCTTGCATCTTCCCTATGTCCTATCTCCAAAATTAGATAAATTCCTTGATAACAAGGACCATACCTTATACCTTTCAATGTTCCTAGAGTCTAGTTCTGTTCTAAATAAAATCCCATAATAATAACATTAGAAAGAAGAACTGTGTATATCAAAATTATCTTTGTATCCTGGCTCATAACAACAGTGTTTTGTCAATATGGTTACCAACAAATTTCCTAAACTGAATGTATACTCTGGCTCCCATCTATGTAATGGCTAATTCTCTATGACAAAATTCCTGATTTTATGCTATATTGTAAATGAGGAAAGAAAAAGTCCACTAAAAGTTGCTAAGTTATTTATAATTATTTTCTCCTATTCTCTTCCCACTTTCAAATATCCCCCACCGATGGAACCACACCAAAAAGAGAAGGCATCTAAACTGTTACGCTAGCCACTAAAACAAACTAGCATCACTCAGGAAGATACAAGAGCTGGAACAGCGCTATCAATGAACAAACAACATCTCCCTCTTCCCCTACTGGCTCTAAAACAATTATTTTCATATGGTAATTCATTCTTTACTGAGGGCTTAGTTATAGAAGGGCTGTTTCAGGTCCAGGTCTTCAAGATGTAGAATGGCTTCTTGAAATACAGTCAAAATTTAAAAAATTATTCTCAGCTAAACCATTCGGAAACCTTAGCATTTATCAGGGGCCTTTAATCTGTAGAAAACTTTACTTTCTACTGTTATTATTCAATTACATTTTATAAATACTAAATGAAAGGAAATTAATGCATAGGTCACCAAAAAAAAAAATTACCTGATGCACCGAGTGCACTGTATACATCTAGTCATAATGGTCTTTACAAGAGGACCAATATTCTTGTCTTCCACAGCACGTTTTCCCTCTAAAAATCTGCTTCTATCACTGCCAAACATCATTGACTGGTCCTAGATTAAATCACATGAGACAGCTAAACCAATGCACCTAATCAAATCAAATTTGAGACAAGCTCAATAATTTTTATAGCAGCAGACTACATACCTGCAGATCACATTCACCTCCCTGATCACAGATAGGACAGTCCAGTGGGTGATTTGCTAATAAAAACTCCATTACACCTTCTCTGTGAGGGAAAAATAATGTGCAAAATTAAGCAAATAACTACAACATCCTGTGTTTACATATTACTTTTCTTTTCTTTTATTTGGGCAATTGGGGTTAAGTAACTTGCCCAGGATCACACAGCTAGTAGGTGTCAAGTGTTTGGTCTGAGGCCATATTTGAACTCAGGTCCTCCTGACTTCAGGGCCAGTGCTCCATCCACTATACCACCTAGCTGCCCCTATATATTACTTTTCACCCAAGGAAGTCAACACATTTCACACACACTTTTTCCCCAATTAATATTGACCTTTTGATCAGGAGATAAGGATGGGGATAGAAATCAAATCTATGATTTCAATGGCATATGGAATTCCCTATTAAGCAAACTCCCTCTACCAATACAGGATGGCATCTGCTTTGGCACTTACAGTCTAAAAGAGTTGCCTAGAGCACAGAGATGTTAAGTTATTTACCCAAGGTCACAAAACCAGAATGTGTCAAAGTTAGGTCTTTACATTCCTGGTTTTGGAACTGTTGTTATGCCATGCTGACTTTCTCGACCCAGAAAACTAAAAGGCAATTCTTCTTTAAAATCTTGCATCTGTCATTAAACATGAACCAACAGAACTGTCTATTATTTAAGTTATTCTACCAAATAATTTTAGTTAAGTAACCTAAAATCAGTAAAGGCACAGAGCTTAAAAACTTCATTGAAGAACCTAATTATGACCTGTGACAATAAAAATGGGCATTCATGTCTCACTTTCTCCCACAATTACAAAACCAGAACATTTGTATTGAGTACAAATAGATTATATACTATAAAAATGAGTCGGCAAAACTGCCTAAGTGTGCACAACAGTGGTAATTAAAGTTACCCTGCAATGCTCTCAGGTAAGCAAACTGCAGACTTACTAATACAAGCTGAGCAAACTACTTCTCTGGCCAACCAGACTAACATCTTCCCATGGCTCAATATCACCACAACCTGCTTCCCTGCATTGCCTTTATTCTCAGTGTCTGGGTCTTTCATCAACCATAAAGGACAACTTTTACAAATTTGAAGCTGAATTTTAGACTCATGGGATAAAATTTATAGAGATTAACACTCAAAGTATAGTAAATAGTAAAGTACCTTGCTTTCCTGGACTTCTCTGAGTTTGTAAGGATGTTCCAACCCTTCATTACCGGCATAGCACAAGCTGCTACAGGCTGGAATTTCAATGGGAAAACCCATTAACACTTGCACCTCTCTGACAGTAAAAATAATAAATTCTCTTTAGATACCACAATCCAATATTTTACAGAAAAAAAACCCCCAAGGCATTCGCAACCAGAAAACAAAGTAATTACATGACAAACATAACATGATAAATCTTATCTTGTGATCTTAGAAATAGTACAATTATCGTACAATGCTCTCTATTAGAGCATCCTTAAATCTTGGGTCCTAGAAGAAAATCTTCTTATTGGGATATAAAAGAACCATTAAAGTACTGTCATTTTTCTTAAACTTAAAAATATTTCATGGCCATTTCTTATTAATATCACTACTGCTAAGCTGTCTCCAATTAAAAACTGAAAAGAAAAAAACTCTTGTAACAAATAAGCAGTCAAGTAAAATGAATCCACTCAGTAGATATATCATCCATCACTTCTGTCTGAAGGGGAGTAAAGAATAAGTTCTCTGGAAACTCCACTGGTCACTGTATTGATGAGGTTAAGTCTTTTAGAGATCCTCCCCCCCCCCTTTTTGCAATTGGGGTTAAGTGACTTGCCCAGGGTCACACAGCTAGTAAGTGTCAAGTGTTTGGTCTGAGGCCAGATTTGAACTCAGGTCCTCCTGACTTCAGGGCTGGTGCTCTATCCACTGTGCCACCTAGCTGCCCCCTAGAGATTTTTTTTAAAAATAATGTTCTTGCACAAATACTGGTTCTGCTCACTTCACTGTGTTAGTTCATACTACCCAGGATTCTCTGAAACTGTCTCTGGGAAATTTGTTTTGATTTCGACTATCCCCTTCTGGGCAAAATCCACCTTTTTAATTTCTCCTTCCATCTCACTGTTTTCCCTGTTGAGTCTGATACATTTCTACACCAAACTCTTTGTGTGGGAGTTCAAACTTCTTTTGTCCATTTCAGGTAAGGGATTCATCTGATGCCAGCTCTTCCTACCTTTCTCTAGGTTAGCATACTCTTCTTTTCATGTACTCCAATTATAAGAAATACCAAGTTCCCATCTCTTCTTCCTCCTCCTTACAGTAGTGTACTCTGCCTCTTACCCTTCCTTTTCTTTTCCTTCTTCAAACCCTCTGAACAGAACCATTTGACCAAGTCTGCTTTTCTTAATTCTGTCAATGCCCTTTGAAAACATTAAGGTTTTAAAGGGATACTTGCTTTTTCTCCACATTAGAATGTTACGAACACATCATTATAGAGTAACTCCCAATTCCTTAAATAAATTTAGCTTTCCGGATTTCTTTGGACTTTTGTGTTTCTATCTCAAAGTTTCTACTCTGCTCCGGACTCTTTAACAGGAATGTTTGAAGTACTCTGTTCTATTAAAGGCTCTTTTTTTCCCCTGTAGTATTATAAGCAGTACTGTAGAGTAAGTCATTCTTGGTTGTGAGCCTCTTTCCTTTGCCTTTTGGCTTTTAATAGATGATGCCAGGTCTTGAGTGATCCTGCCTCTAGTTCGTTGGTTTTTTTTTTTTGCGAGGCAATGGGGTGAAGTGACCTGCCCAGGGTCACACAGCTAGTAAGTGTCAAGTGTCTGAGGCCACATTTGAATTCAGGTCTTGAATCCAGGGCGGGTGCTCTATTAACGGCGCCATCTAGCTGCCCTGGCTAGTTCATTGGTTCTTGAATTCCTTCTTTATGGATGCTTGCTGTACCTTTTCTTTGATGGGTGAGCTCCAAATTTTTTTCAGGGTAGATTTTTCTTTGCTTACTTTGCTTTCTGGTTCCAGTAGACCCTGGTAGTTTTGATTCGTGATTTCTTGAAATACAGTGTCTTTTAAATATAGCGTTTTTTACCAAAAAAAAAATCAGTTTTCAAGGAGTCCAGTTATTCTCACACAGTCTAAAAGTGGGCAGGTCTCTTGTAGACGCAATCCCAACTCCTATTCCATTTCCAACCTGTGCTAGCTCACCTCTCCTTCCCCCTCTTCCCTTGTGCTCCCAAGGGCTCACCATTTTGGTGGCAGACTTAGTACAGACACCTGATTATCTTAGCTCACTGAAATTGCAAACTACTCAGCTCAAGCGATTCACACTAAACCCTGCCTCCTGAGTAGCAGGGATTAGAAGTTGGCATCACCATGCCCAACCCAATGATTCTTTTTTTTTAATTTAGCATTTTATTTTCCCCCAGTTACATGTAAAAACAATTTTTGACATTCATTTTTAAACTTTGAGTTCCAAAGCCTCTCCCTTCCTCGCCCACATTGAGAAGGCAAGTAATTAGATATAGTTTATACATGTGTAGTCATGCAAAGTATGTGCTAGTCGCACTGTGAAAGAAAACATAAACAAAAAAACAAACAAAAACTGAAGAAAAATAAAGTTTAAAAAAAACCTATGTTTTAATCTGTATTCAGACACCATCAGTTCTTTCTCTGGGGATGGATAGCATTTTCCATCATAAGTTCTTCAGAGTTGTGTTGGATTGTTGTATTTCTGAGAATAGCTAAGTCATTCACAGATGATCACCTTACAATATTGCTGTTACTTTGTACCCAGTACATTTCACTTTGCATCAGCCCATGCAAGTCTTTCCAGGTTTTTCTGAGAGCATCCTGCTCATCATTTCCTACAGTATAGTATTCCACAACTTGTTTAGCCATTCCCCAAATGATGGGTATCCCCTCAATTTCTAATTCTTTGCCCCCAGAAACAAGCTGCTACAACTATTTTTGTTTTTGTTTTTTCAGGCAATTGGGGTTAAGTGACTTGCCCAGGGTCGCACAGCTAGTTAAGTGTCCAGTGTTTGGTCTGAGGCCGCATTTGAATTCAGGTTCTCCTTTAGGGCCGGTGCTCTGTCCACTGCGCCACCTAGCTGCCCCTGCTATAACTATTTTTGTACATATAGGTCCTTTTCCTTTTTGGGTTTCTTATCTCTTTTGGGATACAGACCTAGTAGTGGTGCTGCCTGTTCAAAAGGTATGCATGGTTTTATAGCCTTTTGGGCATAGTTCCAAATTGTTCTACAGAATGATTAAATCACTTCACTGCATTAATGCACATCCCCTCCGATATTTGTCATTTACCTTTTCTGTGCTATTACCCAATCTAAAAGGTATGAAGGAGTACCTCAGAATTGTTTTAATTTGTGTTTCTCCAATCAATAGTGAGAATATTTTTTCACATGGTTATAGATAGCTTTGATTACTTCATCTGACAACTGATTATATCTTTTGATCATTTATCAATTGTGGCTCTTATTTTTATGAATTTGACTCAGTTCTTTACATGTTTGAGAAATGAGGCCTTTAGCAGAGAATCTTGCTTCAAATTTTTTTTTTCACAGTTACAATTGCTAACTGTATTTCCCTCCATCCTATTCCTCCCCATTTATTCTATTCTCTCACTCTGTCCCTCCTCAAAAGTATTTTGCTTCCAACTACTCCCTCCTTCAATCTGCCTTCCCTTCTATCACTGCCCCCCCCCTTATTCCCTTCTCCTCCTACTTTCCTGCAGGGTAAGATAAATTTCTATACCCAACTGAGTGTGTATGTTATTCTTTCTTTGAGCCAATTCTGATGATAACAAGGTTCACTCACTTCCCCTCACCTCCCCCCTTCTTCTCCTCCACCATAAAAGCTTTTTTGTGAGATAATTTACCCCATTTTACCTCTCCCTTTCTCTTTCTCCAAGTACATTCCTCTCCTACCCCTTAGTTTTATTTTTTAAGTATCATCCCAATGATTCTTAAATTATATTTCTTTGGCCTGTTTTCTAGGTAAAACATTTTTTATAACAGATCTTATATTTTATTTTGTGCTGTCTCATGGAATTACTGATTTGATCTATTCTAGTTTTCAGGATGTACATTTCTTGAGTAAGGTCTAAAACTTTCTCTTCTAAGCTATTTATTTTCCTTTCAATTCTTTCCTCAACAATTTATATTTCATTTGTTATTTCTTGTTTCATTTCTTTTATGTATTCATGTAACCCTCAGGGAAAGTTCATTTTTTTTCCATTAAGTTTCTATTTACAGTTGTTATGGAATTACTCCTCGGGGACCTCTAGTGTTAATAATTTTTAATACTGGTTAGTGTTTCCTTTGATTTACTCTTCTCTCTAGCTTAAGTTCCTGAAGTGGGGCTTTGTGTCAGGGCCAGGCTCAGCTCTCTACTATGCATTTGTGTGGGTTGCTCATTTTCACTTGGTCTTTCCTTAGATTCCTGGGCTGACATCCATCTCCAGGGGTTAGCCCCTTCCCCACAAAGCTCCAGATCTTTGAGGTCTTCAGGAACCTCTCTTGCCTTTTAGGGGAGTTGGGAATCTGGGTGCCCCAGAACCCCTGGGCCCCCCGGGGCTGAGCGATGCTTGTAGTGTGCTGGATGCCGCTGCTCCATAGGACCTCTAAGATCCACAAAGTGGGATTTCTTGCAGGGGCAGGAAGAGGAACAGGACTCTTACCTCTTGTTGATCCAGACACAGATACCTGTAGACAACATGTGTCCCTCTCCTCTTTCTAGCAGTGCTGGGAGGTTACCCTACATTTGTGCTGGCTTTGTGGGTAACCTGATTTCTTATTCCCTTCTTGGTTCTTGCCAACTTCGTATGCATTCAGGGGAGAAGGGGAGGAAGAAGTCACTTATTGTGGTTTCTCACTGGATTTTTTGATCATTATTCAGTCTGGGTGAGAACTTCAGGATTTTGCTGAAGTAGGTTTTTGGGAGCTGGGCTAGAAATAATCTAAAGTACTTGTAATTCCCAAATGCCAGGCACCATTTAAGTTTCTATAAAGATCAAGTGACTTGAATTGCTGATACAGGTCACAAATTATTCATTTTAAGAACAGAGATAAAGTATGATACTAAATATGCACTATGATATTTAACACAAAAGTGATTTTTGATTAAGATTCCGAAAGCAACACAGGATCATAGATTTGGAGCTGGAAGTGATCTTAAGAGGTCCTCTAGTCCAATCCCTTCATTTTACAGATGAAGCATTTGAGGATCTGAAAAATGACTTGTCCAGGAGCACACAGGTAGCAGAGCTGACATTTGAACTGGGTCCTCTGACTCCAAACAAGTGCTTTTCTATTACAATCTACTGTCAATTGCTATAGTTACTGTTTAAAGATTACTGATAGCCACCTGGCACTAAAATCTGTGAATCCTAAACAAGTTACAAACTAGGGGTTTCTTAAATGGAAATTTTTTTGTTCTTTGACATTAGGGGCTGGAAAGAATTGCAGGGGTTGTAAAGAACAAGGGAAATGAGTCTCACTGGAATTAGGCTGTTCACTTTTGGAACAGCATGGTCCACGTGGAAACAAAGTTTGTTGGCTCTTTTCCTCCTACCTGCAAATGGATATAGCACCCAAACATGCTTATAACATAGAGAACTGCAGACTTGGAGTAAGAAGACATCAGTTCAAAGGTCCTACCACTTAATAGCTATGTGACTTTGGACAAGTCATTTTAGAAAATTAAAGCTGTTTTCTCATCTGTAAAATGATAATGATGCCACCTGCTCCATCCACAAGGATCACATTCACTCAAAAACATACTATAAAACGTGATTATTTTAGTTTTTCTCCTTTATAAAAGAATGAAATGTTTTTAGGTAACAAGTACCTTAGGGGCCTTTTCTATCTCCACAAGACACATCCTACAGTTTCCAGCAATCGATAGCCTTTCATGGTAACAGAATCGAGGAATCTGCATACCAACTTTCTCACATGCCTAGGAGATAAAAAGAAGTCATGTTATATGAGAATACTGAATATTTACCTTCTAAGTTGACTGCTACATAGAAAGTAATCCCCCCCCTCCGGCAGTCAGTTATCTCTGTTAGGCTTTGGAATTAGTGAATTCAGGTGATTATGTGTTGAATATGTAAATCAATACATAAGGAAAAATACAATCCCTTTACTCCAAGTAAAACTCACAAATGTAGAACCAAAAGCATACAGGTTAACAAAGAAGTAAAAATACTTCAAGAGGTCCATGATATGGAAGATTTTTATAGAAAACTTGCCTAGGGCATATGATTTTATGTTAGCTAAGAAACAAAACTAAAATATATTTACTGTCCTTTTTAGTGAAAGTCAAGCTTGTATATTTTTAACTACAAATCTGTTTCTATTAGAATAAGTTAAAGAAATGGATGCAACAGGACTATGAAACAAACAGTAACAGAATAATTCACTCTGACAAATGTTAACTGTCTCGGACTCTGTCAAAAGGCTGCACCCAAGGACCTAGAAGGCTACATGTGGCCTCAAGGTCATAGGTTCCCCATGCCTGGTATGTACAAGGCACTGTGCAGGGTACCGGGGATACAAAGATGAAAAAAGGAAAGGTCTCAAAATGCTTATAGTCTGGCAGAAGAAAAGCATGTCCAATGAATAACCTTACAAGTTTAACATATGATTGGGTACACAGGAGGGGTAAAAAAGCAACATGAGCTATTTCAGGACAGAAAGATCACTTCCCCTCCAGGATGGGAAATAGGAGAATCAGAAAAGGAATTAAGAGAAAGGTTGCCTTTGAACTGGCACCTAATGGAAGTGAAGGATTTCAAAAGGAGAAAAGCCATTCTTGGAATGAGAAATAACATGTTGGATGCATGGAATAGAAGACAGAATGAATTTGAGTGGAACATAGGGCACACAAAGGGGAGTAACAGGATAAGGGGTAGTAAATTAATTTGGAATGAGCAGGGCTACTTCACAGTTATATCAAACTTCAACAGGTTTTTATATTAGTTCCATAAATACTTGGCCATTATATAACATCTATCAAGAAATCTTGACATATTGAAGGAAAACATTTAAAACAAGTTTTATAAAACTAAAACAAAAAAGAAAATATTTAGAACTTTGATTTCATGTTTACCTGAAGCACTGTGGTTCCAGGTTCCACCATGACAGGTTGACCATCAACAAACACTTCAATCAAGCTGCTGGCCGCTGTGGTAGTTGTTCGCACTGACCATCAAAAACATTGAGTTGGGAATTCAAGTTAACTAGAGTTGAATCTGCTATGGCATAGGGATAATGGATTTGTTTACTCTAACCACTACGCTAGAAAAAGTGACTTTAAAATACTGAATTAATATAAGAGACTACATACAGTAAAAAAATGTACCTCTACATTTGTCTATGGTTATGTTGAAGAGTAGCACAAATGCAAACTTATTCTATCAGTAAATATAACATCAGCATTAAGGCAGTAGACTAGCTATCAAAACAGAATTAATTATATATGTTGGTAGGAAATCTGATCACCAGTTCTAGCAACATTCTATTCCTTGAGAAACTCTGATTACTTTTTACTCCTATCTCTACAAAAATCTAGCTTTAAAAATTCAAATATATATTATCAACTGAGAAATATCCTATTTAATTTAGCCAATTTGTGTCTGCTTTTGCAGAAACAAAAACAATTTCATACCCAACAATCCAATTCATTAAACGTCTAAGTACCTATATGTAAGAAGCTTTTAGAACCAGTCACACATGTAGGAAATTTCAAGGTTATTTCCATGACTTAACAGAGTTTAACAGTTTAGTTCCACATATTTATTAAAGAACATTTTTCCTCTATAAGAACAAATTTTAAAAGAATACTCACCACATCCTTTAGGACACTGAACAAGGCCAGTTAAGGCCCTTCGTACAGGTAGTCGTAACATCTTGCTAAAAATAAAACAGAGAAGTCTTAAGGTTCTTTGTAGGAATATATTCTAGTTGCTAACTATTTTTAGATTGCTAACAACTTTATTTTACATTTGATAGTTCATGCTGGTAAATAACAGAATTCCACTAAAATGTTATAAATTTTATCTTATATAATGCTACAAACTGTTAGATAGCTTTACTTAATCTAAGCTGCTAAGTAAAATGAAATTGCATGGCAAATTAAGAGATGATTAAAAAACCTGAAGTACTATTTATTTTAAGTATCTAATAATACTAAGTACTGAAGGCTGTTTCTTTGAAACAAAGGAGCTATCATTCACAAAGCTTTAAAGTACACAACTTCCTTGACATACAATATACAATATATTCTTTTAGCCAAAAAAAAAAGGATTGTCCAATATTGAGAAGAAACACCTCAAAATATATACTGAAAAATTTCCCACACAATAACCTCAAGGCACTTAAAATTTAGCAACCAGGTAGGACTCTGCAATGTCAATAAATCAAAAACTATAAAATCAATTTTCAAATAACCACATGTAGATTATCAACTGCATTTTTAAAAATATGAGAAACTGGTTTTCTTCCTCCTTCCATTCAGCATACTTCGGAGGTGCTTCCCCTAAGTTAGCAAGTATTAAGCAAATATGGAATGCAAAAAATAGTTTTCAGGATCTGCTTAAGTAAAATATAAATTAAGAAGCTAAGTTTTTTGTACAAGATACTATGTTACAAATAAAATTTGCTTTCCAAACCAAACAGTATGAACAATCAAGAGTTGACTAGATAACCATGATTTTACTGTGGTGGACAGTCCCTTTAGCTCTGCAGACTGTGACCTTCTATGATTTAACAAAAGTCTAAGTTGCGGTGGCTGAATAAAAAAAAAATCACAACTTGGTGATTATGTTTCTGTGGCCCCTAGACAGTGTGGTCCTTCTGGCATCATCATAATAAGGCCTGTCCTCGAAGCTCTTCTAGCTTGTTTACTTGCATTTGCCAGACTTTGTGATTCAATGTCACTGTCACAGGCGACTGGTTTTAGTGGATGTCCGTGTAAACCAATATAAAAGTAAAGACTTCCATTTACAACGCACTGTTACCTTGTTACACATTCCCTGTAACTTTAGAGAAGCATTTTTACCCTGCTACCTTTGGAGAGAACTGGTGATGGGCAGTGGATAGAGCACTGGGAGCACAGGAATACTTGAGTTCCAATCTAGCTTCCGATATTTCCGATGTGACCCCGGGTTAAATCAATTTACCTCTGCCTCAATTCTTTCGCTGTGAAATGGAGATGATAATAACAGCACCTACTTGCCAGGTGGTTATTAGAATTAAATGAGATAATATTTGTTTTTAAAAGTGCTTAGCACCGTGCCAGGCACATAATAGGGAGCTATACAAATGCTTTATTTCCTTCACCCAATTTTGAGGGATGGCTTAATTTTTCTGTAAAATTCAGTCATAGCCTTTTCTTAACATTAATAATATTTGCGTAGTGTTTCATTGTTTACAAAGACCTACATCTATTACCTCATTTGATCCTCCCAACAACCTTATAGCTATTAGTATTCCCATCATATATATGGAAACTAAAACTGAGAGTAATTATGTGATATTAGTATGGTCAACTAGTTTCAGAGGTAGGATTCTAACCTAGATCTCTAAAACTCAAACAGCTTTTACGAAAAACTTTGAACACTGTCTTTTACGAGTTAAATAAATAGAAGATGCAAATTATGAACTAAATGGGGTTTTCCAAATCAATGTTTTTCCCACTAAAAAAAAATTTTATTTCAGCAGTAAAGTAACGTTATCAAAACAATTATAGAATTAAAGTTATCTGACTTTTGAGAGGACTGAAAAAAGGCTATGGGAAAGGGGAAAACTGAATCACAATTCTTTAGGACTTGTTGAGTTGCTGCATCCTTCTGCCATTATATTTCTAGTTTTGTATTCACATTATTCATCAATCTGTAGAAATTCTTTGTTCTTACTGCATAAAATGCTACCTAAAACGTGAATATTTTTATTTTATAAAGCATGAAGTAAAATATTTTCATACAATCATACTCAGTTTGTTCAAAAAGTCTTCCCTGACCAATTCATAAGCATCTACTAAATACCTACCATATACAAAGCATCTGGGGGTACCAAGACCACTTCTCCCTACCCCCAAAAAGTTTACTCCATCAAAAACCTTACATTTTACTGAGGACGTCCAAACAGAGGCATCAATAAATTAACATCCAGATTAATTTTCAGACCAGGAGATCGCATATCTCCAAGGTGTCACGCAACGTTGTTTAAATCTTGAAATGTTATTATATGCATATGTATACACATACACACACACACACTCTCTCTCTCTCTTATCCTCAATGATAGCATTGCTTTGTTGACCCTTCCACAAGTGGAGTTTGTTTTGTAATGGTCTGCAATTTGTTAAACACAGGAATCATTCCATATCCTTTACCTCTCTCTTGGAAGTTGTCACTCTGAACCTCAGTTTCCTCATTTGCCAAGTAAAGAAGTTATTAAAGCCTGATGATCCCTTAGAGCTCCTACTTACTTGAACAAATGGTGATTCTTCCAATAGTCCCTATCTCTGAAAAATGATTTGTGCAATAAATTGAGTCACTGAAAATCAAATCTTTCCTAGCCCTAAGTCCTCCTTAATTTGTAATAAGCTTTGCTCTAAAGAAGTATTGATAACAGTACAACAAACTCATTCTTCCAGAATGGTGGAAGAAACAACCCAAAACCAAAAAATTCTCCTCAATTCAATATTGTGGTTACTCAAGAGTATTCAAAGATTACCAATGGGGAAAAAAAATGCAAAAAAACACATTGTGGTTGTTAGTCGTTTTTCAGTCCTATCTCACTTTTCCTGACACCAGTGGAGTTTTCTTGGCAAAGATACTTGAGTGGTTTGCCAGGCTCATTTTACTGATAAGGAAACTGAGGCATATAGGGTTAAGTGACTTGCCCAGGGTCACACAGCTAGCAAGTGCTTCTGGCCACATTTGAACTAAGGTCTCCCAGATGCCAGGCTAGCTGGCCAATGAGACACATGACAGCACCACATAAGAAAGAATATGACTTGGGAGTCAGAACACCAGGTTCTGCCACTTACTGTCCTGTGTGACTCTGGGCAAGTCACATGACCTTTCTAGACCTCAGTCATCTCATCTGTGAAATGGGGGAGCTGGACTAGCCTAGGCTCCCCAAATCCCTTCCAGCTCTTCGTCTCTGAGGATAATCGTCCTAGATTCCCCACCCCGTCTAATTCAGGGTCAACACCCCGAGTGCCCCTGGGCTAGTCACCCGGCCTCTGCGAGAGAGAGTACAAATGGGGGTCGGGGCTGGCTGACCTCAGGCCCCCAGGGAGCTCTCACGCGTGGTTCCAGGTTCTCAGCCCCGCTGCGGGGTCGCTCGGCTGCCTCTCGGGCTGACCCTCTCGGCCGGCTCGAGTGTCCGGGCAGGGCCCCTAGAACCCCAGGCCGCGCCGCCCTCCCGCCGCCTGGGGTCAAGGCTGGGGTCACCGCGCTCGGCCGAGGCTGCGGCCCCGCTCGGCCTCGGAGGGCCGAGGGCAGCCGCGCCGCGCGGCCCTCACCGGTACCGGCTTCCCGCAGCGCCCCGGCCCGGAGGCGGGGACTCTGACTGACCTGGACTCAAGGACAAGTGGAGCCTGAGGGGTTCGGGGCCCCGCCGGCCGAGAAGCCCCGGCACGGCGCTCCCCCCGGCCACCCCGACACGACCCTCCCCGCCCAAGCCCGGCCTTACCTTCTGGGGGGGCACGCCGGCACCGTGGGGCCTCCAGGACCCGATCAGCCCCTCAGCTCCCCTGTCCTTTATTCTCTATGGCGGCTTCGGTAATTTCCGTCCTCCAATACGAATGAGATCAGGTTGCGGGGAGAAAGACTTCGGCAATTTCCGGCCTTTGGGGCGGGACTGGACTCGGCCATGTCCGTCAGGCAGCTCTGGCGAAGGCGGGGCCAGCCTGGTTCGGCAATCTTCGGGGGCTTCGGGTGACGTTTCGGTAATCCTCCATCTCTGGGAGCCCAGAACTTCGAATGTCTCCCGGGCCTGTAGGGGCGGAACGGGAGAGGGCGAAAATTTTCGAAATGACCATTTTTATTCTTTTCTATCCGCGCATCGAGGAAAGAAGTGCCGGGAGAGCTACTTGAGATTTTAACAATCAAGATAACGAATTTTAAAGGCCAATTGGGAGCGGGCACCACAAAGAACTTTACCCTTTGAACTCCGTCCTCTCTTTCCTAGCGTGGCGGAGCGGAAGGATACGGTTTGACCTTATATAAGGCAGTCGCTGATTGCGCGCTGCCCTTTTTTCAATCGGCGGCTGACGCTAGCGTGTTTGCGCGCTGCGCACCTTTCATACCCCGCGCTCAGTTCCTCTGTCGCTGCCACCGCCGCCGCCTCTTGCCGGTCCCTCCCACCACCACCATGGGCTTCGGAGATCTCAAGACACCCGCGGGCCTGCAGCACCTCAACGACTTCCTGGCGGACAAGAGCTACATCGAGGGGTGAGCAAGAACCCCGGGGCGGTGTCACCGGGAGGCCCGGTGGGTGCAGCGCGGGTGGTCGATGGGAGCAGGGGGACGAGGCCGCCATCGCCGCCCCGGCCTGGTGGAAAGAGGGCTGCAGCGGCTCTGGGGCCATGGAGGTGGAGGAGGAGAAAGCAGGGCATGTGCGGAAGGTCACCCGGGGGTGGTAGCCCAGGCCCGGCCCGGCCGACCTGGGAGGGACACGTGGCAGAAGCGCCTCGGGCCCGGGCCCGAGAAGCCCCTCCACCTCCAGGAGGGAAAGGGAGAAGGTTTAGGTCACCCTCCCTGACACCCGATTGGCCTGGGGAGACGGGCCCTAGGCCCCGGGTCTGCCCACGTGTGCACCGACCTCCCACTGCGGCCTTGATCCTCCTGTGCTTCCCTGAAAGCCGATTTAAACGGCGTTCGGGGCCTTTCTTTAAAAAGTGCGTCTTGTGGAGCTGGGCCTGTTTAACTTGCTGTGGGGTGCACTATAATTAGCCTGCTGGCTTTGCTTCCTCATGCGCCTTGTTCCGTCCTTAGGTATGTGCCATCCCAGGCTGACATTGCAGTATTTGAAGCAGTCTCAGGCCCACCACCTGCCGACTTGTACCATGCTCTCCGTTGGTATAACCACATTAAATCCTATGAGAAGCAGAAGGCAAGGTAAGGTGATGCTGGTGTGTGAACTTTTCTCTGAAGTAAAGCAGCTCATAGTAAGGTTTTTCACGTTCCAAATGTGGACCTAGGCTGTTTTAGTTTTGCTGAGATGTTGTAAGCTTAATTAATTGCTTGTGCCACCTTGCTAGGCCAAGAGACTGAAGTCCTCCCATTTTTTCACAGAACAGGTAGAACATGGACAACAGCAATTCAAGTTTTCCCCACACTGTCCTGCCAATATGCCTCGACCCTCACCTGGGGGGGCCACCTCTGGGGTGAGAGGGGTAGTTCATCTATGGCTCATTCATTCAGTCCCTGGCCATGCTTCTGAAACTGCCAGCAAGGGTGGAAGTTTGGGGAAGTGGACAACCAGTTCACTAAGAACGCAGCTGAACATACTGTTATGAAATCTCAAACAAAAATGTTCATACTGAAAGATTAAATCATAGTGAGTATTCAATATAATGTCTCCCAGGGTAGCAGAGTGCTTTGGGCATGAGACTCTTTAAAAAGTGAAAATATTTGCAGGAGGCAAAATAGAAACGTTAGTTTTGAGTACTAAAATTGTATTGACTTAAAGTAATGCTGAAGTTAATTTGTCCTGTTTATAGAGCAGTTTGAGAGTTGAGGTCAGTGTTCATGTACTTCCCCCATCTCCTGTAATTCCAATTCCTAAAAACTAGGTCAAAAGTAATTCATTTCAGCTTCTGCTTCAGATTTAACATATGACTTGCATTGTTAGTATTCTGAGTAGTGTTGCAGAAAACTTGTAGGTCTTATATTTATCAGTTTGTAATTTGTTGAAAGGGTGATGTGTGAGGCATTGGCCTTGGTAAAAGCTTGTTACTGCTTTGATACAAATTTGATTTAATGACCTCAATTTTAGCATTTGAAGTTACATTGAAAGTGATAGTATATTTTTTTTTAAGCTTGCCAGGAATAAAGAAGGCTTTGGGCAAGTATGGGCCTGCTGATGTAGAAGATACCACGGGAAGTGGTGGAGCTACAGATAGCAAAGATGATGATGACATTGATCTCTTTGGGTCTGATGATGAGGAGGTATGTTGTGATATCAAGCAGAATGTGTGGTGGCTTTTTTTTTTAATCATTGGGATTAAAGTGCCCACAGATGTTTGTAAGTATTAGCTCTCTTATAAGACATGCTTGTAGAAGAATTCTTAAGATTCCTCTCAGGAATGATAAAAGTGATTACAGAATAAAAGTTCTTTTGGAGTCCTTGTAGATATGCTCAGATGGTTAACAGCTAGCCCCATAAGTTCGTGTTTTCACAGATAACGTGCCAGTGGAACACTGGTCTTAAGTTAACATTTTGGGTGTTTTAGAGGTCTTCAAAAAATGAATTGGATCATATAGTTATGATTCTAGTTATGTAATTAAACTTTGACTAGTACCTAATTTTAAAACTTACTGGCTGCATGATGAATAAAATCAAATCACCATCTTTCGGCTGAATTCATGATGGAATTGCTTTTTTCTGATTAGCTGGTCTATATTCTATGTGAATTGTTAACTAAGTTTAATAACAACAAATTAATGCCCTGAAATGTGTTGGATTCTCTTCACAGGAAAGTGAGGAAGCAAAGAGGCTAAGAGAAGAACGCCTTGCTCAGTACGAATCAAAGAAATCAAAAAGTAGGTTGGCTTGACCTTACAAATTATAGTTCTTGAGAGGGAAGCAAGAACATGGTGTTATAGTAAGCCCACTTTTCCTTGGTAAGCTTGGAATTTTCTGGTTGCACCAATCTGCATTCACTGCTTATTGGAATTTTGAAAGAGATAAAGAAAAAACATTCCACAGCTACTGGTCTGCAGCTGTTCTCATCTGTAGCAGTTGTTGTATTCCACTGTGGAAAAGAAATTGTTACACTGTTAAATCACCTCTTTCTAATGCATAAGAAAGTGGATTCCTTGTGTGACAGACACCTCCTTAACAGACATTTTAATAGGAAAAGTTAATACTGAATCTTTAGCAGTTTTGTTATGTGAAGTAAAAGTTTTTCCAAATTCTGTTAGAACTCAGTTCTGTAATACAATGACAATTCATGTTTGTAATTATGACACTGAGGCACATCTAGATCCTGAAGTACCTTCGTAATCAGACTTAAATTTTTTATTTGGTGTCCACCTGATTTGAGTACTTGTGACTTGAAGGGTCAGGTTAACTTTCTGCCAGTCGACCTCAGTCTTCTCTCAGCTTGAGCCCCTATTAGTCAGTGTTTTAATTATATGTGATTAGTTTAACATTTCTTCCACAACTGAGTGCCTTGTCAGAACAAGATGCTGTGTGGAAAAATGGTTAGTCCTTCCCTCCATAAAGTCTGCGGTGGGGGAAGGTTATATACATAACCTTTATATACATAAAACTAGAAAGCACAGATTGCTGCTATTTGAGTAGGAAGATGGGTATTCTGAGTGGAAGGAGGAAGATGACATTTAATTTGGACCTTAAAGAATATGTAAGAATTATTAGTTAATAAAGCTTTTAATCTTTTCCCTTCTTTAGAACCTGCAATTGTTGCCAAGTCTTCCATCTTGCTGGATGTAAAACCTTGGGATGATGAGACAGATATGGCAAAATTGGAGGAATGTGTCAGAAGCATTCAGGCAGATGGCTTGGTCTGGGGATCTTGTAAGTTGAAACATTTAACTGTTGATTGGCATCTATCCTGAATTTGTAGAAGGACTGGCACCTTATCTTGTGTTTTTCCCCTTCAGCTAAATTAGTTCCAGTGGGATACGGCATCAAGAAGCTTCAGATACAGTGTGTAGTTGAAGATGATAAAGTTGGGACAGATATGCTAGAGGAACAGATAACTGCCTTTGAAGACTATGTGCAATCCATGGATGTTGCTGCCTTCAATAAGATCTAAAAACTACCATCCTCAAAAATTGCATTTAAATAAAAATATTTGCAAGCAAGAGCTTTGTGTTTTCACAGTTGAGTGATTTCCCCCCCCCTTCATTACCTTAATTTCCTCCAATCTAAGCCACATTCCTAGCTTTCCTTGATTTCCCATTACCTACGGGAATACTTTAACAGATTCCCCATTGTCTTAATTAGGTGGTTTTTGGAATGTTGATTTGTGTAATGGTGAAGGGTACTTACATACATTTTTGGAGTAATAGTATTGCAGGAATCAGTAGGATGGGGGGGGGGTTGAGCTGAAAGGGTATGCTGAATCTGAATTTGTTAGGGGAGGTGACCTGTTAAAAAGCCAAATGCTTTTTTTCCCTAAGGATTGGAGCATAGAGAAAATTAGTTTTAAGCCGAGAAGAATGATCCAGGGTTATATAATAATGTCCTGTAGGTAGTGAGGTAGCCTGGGTTCACATTGTGAATACTGTCTAGGGACTTCATTTGACTTGGTAGCCAAGTGCTAGACTACCCCAGTGTCAGGTAGTGAGGAGTAATGTCTTCTGACTCACTGCTACCCCAGTACTGCATCCACTGTTAGACAAGTGGTCTTAAATTTTATGTAAGTTAAAAAAAAAACTGGGCCTAGATAAGTAGCATTGTGCCATTGGTTGTGTATGCCTAAATTAATTGGGCTTCTTGAAAGGGGTGAGTTAATTGAAGCCAATTGCATTTATTGAGAAGTTGAGGTATGGGAGCCAGTACATTAGTTAGAAGACAAGATTAGGCAACTAATTAGA